TTTTTTTTTTTTAGAATTCAATACTTTAAATGAACATTTTCGTTAGTTCTAATAGAAAATAGCAACTAAAATTATTTGTCTAAATATAATGAATATGGACAATAAAAATAAATTATCAAAAAAAAAAAATTTAAACGGGTAGTAAACGGGACAAGGACCCCGCCCCGCCTTAAACGGGTAATGGGGCCCCTGCCCCGTTGCCATCCCTAGGGCAAGACCAGGGCCTTGATTAAAGCTAAGGTTCTTACTCTTGCACAAGTCACTAGCAATGCCCTTGCTCTGTTTAGGGATGGCAATCGAGGAGGCTCGTGGGTGAGCCAACGAACTCGTCTTTGTGAAGGTAACTTTTTTTTTTTTTTTCAGAAAAAGTTTTGTCTTAAAAAAAAATAAATAATTAACGGGTTGGCGAGCCGACCCACGAGCCACAAGCTCATGTGCCGAGCCGAGCTTGACCCGTGAGTAATGAGCCGAGCAGAAGCTCCGCTCGTGACGAACACGAGCCGAGCTCGTGGGACCATTGCCATCCCTAGCTCTGTTCAACAAGTTTGCAGCAAGATACAGACCTGCTAATGCCACCAAACCCCAAGTCTAATGTTGTCTTAATTTTATTTATCTATTTGTTATTTTATGATTCACGTGAATACAAAGTTTTGAAACCCTCATAGCACCTTGTAGCTTACAGTTTCTATTCTCCACATGACAGGCCTAAAACACCACACATGCCAACTGTATGCCTGCACACGCTCGCATTCATAATTGTGGTAATTACACAAAACCATACTTTAAGTATTAAACCTTCCAAAATCAAATTAAAAGTTTACTATTTCCAAAATCAGATATTTTTATTAATTAATATATTATTACTAAATAAAATATATGATTAAATTAAATTATTTTATAAACCAAACCCTTCCTCTCTCCCTCTCTTCCCCACCCTCTCTTCCCCGCTTCTCTCTCTACACTTTCCTCCCATCTTTCTCATCCATTACTCCAGGCGTAGCCGCATACCACCGACAGCGCCATCATGTGCCACCACCTCTGCTCTCTCATCTCCCTCATCCATCCTCCATTCGCGAAGACAGCACGCCGTGCCACCGTCACTCAAAGTGGCCATTGATTGGAGTTGCAAATGAATGTAGAGGCGCCTTCTTTGTTGGAGTGGAGAAATCTGGTGGTGGTGTCGATGGTGGTGTTCGTGGTTGTGTTGATGGCGATTGCTGTGGTTGTGGATCAGATGCAGTTGTGGTTGTAGTGGTGTGAGGGTGGCCGTAATAATTTTGAATTTGATTGTTTAATGGTGGTTGGATGATAGTCGTTGTTGGTGGCGATGGAAGTGATGACGGTGGTTGTGGCGATGGCGGTGGGTAGTGGTGGTCGTGGTGATGTCGGTAATTTTAGATGGTGATTTGTTGCCGGGAGGTGGTGGTGGTGGGGTTCCAGCGACGAGGGTTCGGTTGTCACCTGTGCTATGACCTATGTTGTGACCTGAGCCATGTGCTGCGACCTATGCCGTGATTATCAACAAAAATCTGAGCGTTTAAAAATAACATGGGATTATGAACCAAATCGTGACATGTACTGTGACCATTTGAAAATTACATGAGACTATGAACAAAATC